GGTCTGTTGGAGAGCCGGTGCAAATCTCAAGACTGAGTCGCACGCTCGTGCCAGCTAAGGACAGCTTTGACAGCATTATACACCACGCGACACTGTTTCACTCTGTTCACCCTTAAGCTGAGACTTCAGCCAAAGCTACAAGCGCGAGGTAGTCCTCACTTCAAGCTTTGAATCGAGCATTTTTAGCGCGAGTGCTCAGTTTGTGGAAGAACGCTTCGAAGCAGCGACCTCGAGCACTCGTCCTTTTGGCATTGGCCGCAGTCTTAGCTTAAGGGTGCCCTGAGGAGGTTTCTGAGATCGCTTAAATAAGACGATAACTCACTATGGTGGGCTCTAAGCATCCTAGACATCCATGAATCATAAAGATGCGCGGCCGATTTTCCTTTTAAAGAAGCAATCATAAATCGAACACACCAAGGTCATCTTCGGAAATGGGAGGAGCTTGTTCCGGCAGCGAGGACGACACGTGGCCAAAGGGAACGCGACATTTTGTTGAGATTGCAAGCGCTCTTATTACAAGATGTTATGTTTTTGTAGATGGTAAAAGCAAATAAGCGTAGTCGAAACATGTATCTTTCGCGGAGAGGGAACATAATACTGCAATAATCGCCTAAAAAACAACGCACTTTTTTGTCTTTAACGGGAGTGATGTGTCCGGTCGTCAGCTCTCTAGCGCGCGCTCGTTGGGTTGAATCATACTCCGAGCTGTAGGGGTAAGGAGCCGCGGATATTCGAGATATCACTCCGGATCCTTCACTTGCTATTGGCTGACTGTGATCCTAGTTTCGAAACATGCTCCTCCCATTGTGTGTGATGACCTCCGTGTGTAAAAATATTTTAGAGTGTTTTTTTGTTTTTTTTTAATGCGAAAATCGGTCGCTATCGTCATGATTTAGGAATTTATAAGATGCTTAGTACCAGCAGAGTGAGTTATCGCCATATTTAGGGGATCTCAGAAACTTCCCAGGGCACTAATAATCTACCCTGAATAACGTCGTTTTAGCCATTTTGGTGCTTAAAATAATTTATTTGCCGGATATTTGAAGATTTATCTGAAATTCCAGGAAACGCTTTTCGATCCCCAAGAAATTTTACGTCACAATGTTCCAAGTGAACCTGCCATTCACTCAGGGCCGTACCCAGAAAAAATTTCGGGGGGGGGGGGGGGGGGGGGGGTTTCGGGGACAACGGCGGCCATTTTGAAAGTGTCTATTGCCTATTTTCGCCAATGAATCATGTGCGTCGGTGGCACATAATGGAGAGTTAGAGCAAACCGGAGAACCGGCCCCGGTTTAGTACCCGGTAGCCGACCGGCGCCACTGCGCGTGCGCAGAGGTGGAGATTAAAATCGGCTGGCTGCCAGTGCACCGACCAGGGCCGTACCCAGACAAAAATTTCGGGGGGGGGGGGGGGGTCAGAACCCCCTAACCCTCCCCCCTCCCCCCCTGGTTACGGCCCTGCATTCACTTCATTCGGCAAAACTGGTCCATAGTTAGCGTTTTATCGAGTTGTTGCGTCACTCGCAGTGCTAAAGGACTGTGGTTGTGTAAAAATTTATACGAGCAATATTTAAAGAAAAATAACGCTTTTTTTTTAAACATTATTATTAGGAAGAAAATTTGCGAAGCGATAGGCCAGATATTTTCCGTAAGGCCCATTTTAGTAGCCGTGACTCGCCCATGCAGGCATTAAAGAGCACCGAATGCACCCTCTTTCCGCAGCGTTGTCCAAGCGATATGTCCTGACTATTTGTTTCTCCGTCTATTGGAACCTTTCAGATAAACACCACACATAGCCGTATTCCCCCTAAAAATTTTGTAAAACATTAAGTCCGGTCCCTCGCGGAACGTTACTAATTTCCCTCGTCATCTGTTTAGTTAAGGATTATGTAAGTGCACCTTAAGACTCACTTTACGTTATTTTATAAATGCGTACACGTTTCAAAAGCCAAAATGATCGCCTTTTTTCTTTGATAACCAACGCTTATGAGAACTTCTTCGCGCCGCGCATGAATAATGCGTGAAACATCCTCTCTTCTTGATGTGACAACGAGTATGAAATAAATTGTATAATCAACCATCTTGAATATACCTGAGACTGGGGTAGAAAAAACATAAAAGTCGAAGAAACAGAAAGGGACAGGACGACGTCTCAAACTCAGCTACCAGGTTTATTTAGTTCTCCTTTTATATAGCCCACAAACAACCCACCACTAACACAAAGGGGCAACTCTAACCAGTTCAAACGCCAAACCCTCCAGACAGTCACTACCAACACAAAGGGACAACCTCCAAACAGTTTTTATGTTCTTTTCTACCCCAGTCTCAGGTATATTCATCATGGTTAACATCCACCAGCTCGCCTGCACCCTTACTATTTTATCATTAAATAATAAAGGCCTCCGAACATCGTCCTCTTACCTTATGGACCGTCACCACAGTCAGATGGCTCCAACTATCGTGCCCGGAACGCGTCTCTAACTAGAGTGTTTCCCGCGTCAAAAAAAAAAAAAAAAGGTGGTACCTCAATTTTTGCTTGATGACGTCATAGAAGTGTCATGTTGTCGCCGTCCGCAATGCAGACGGTGTGACAGCAGCGGTGGGTGATATGGCACACGCCTGCTCCGCCGGGGGTCCATCTCCAGCTTGACAGTCCACGTAAGCTTCGGCGGCCAGGAGAGAGAGGGACCGCGACGACAGCGACAGTCGCGTTCGCTCGTACGTTTCGCAGGAGCGTCTAGTTTCAACCACCAGGATCGTGACATCCGACAGCAAGATACGCCGGCTTCTATGACGTCATTTGTTGTCACTTGGGAACCACTTTCGATGCGTGGGATGAGTGTGACGGTAAACATTCCAGCCAGAGACGCCTTCCAGGCACCGTGTACACCAACTCAACTCACTGACGTCACGCCACTGCGGTGGCGCTGCTGTCGGTACTGCGCATGCACAGACACTTCACTCATCCCGAATTTGGTTTCTGCGCACGCGCAGTGCTCACATTTGGTAAGGTAAAAGAGGGCTTCTTTGTAAACACTGTGTTGGTGTCTACCTCCAACTGAGTAATTGAACCCATGCCCGAGCGTCCTTGGAAGTGTTGACCTGAAGTTCGGTTGGCGTCTTCGTACAATCTCACTGTGATGACGTCACAGGTTTAGTGCACAGAGCAAATGTTTTAAGTGGTGTTGTTGAAACGCGTACAGAAGCTTTTTTCTCTTTTTTTTCATTTTTGTCTTTATGAAATGCTTGTAAAACTGGTGTCGTAAAAATACTAAACAAAATCCACCTTCACGAGAAAAGAAAAAGAAAAAAAAAGTTCTGCTAGTCATGTTTATTGAAACCAATTGATCTATGTTTGTCCCAGTCTTCAAGTCTTGCAGCATGAAAATGTTCAGCCTGATAGGGGCGCTGGACGACCTCAAGGACCGATGGGAGGAGTACATTGTAAGATTTCTGCAATTATATATAAATGCTATAATTTTTGTTAACGCAAGTTAGTTGGTAGTTGTTGCCAATTGGCAACAACTGCGTTAAGTTGCCAACTGGCAACTTAACGCAAGTTAAGTTGCCAGTTGAAACTACGTAGATCCTGCTATCTTAGGTAGCTGCGTATCCGCATGTGACGGCTCTCAGAGACGTGGTAATATCGGTCATCCGCCATAAATTAGTGTAGCACATTAAAGTAACCCTTTTGCGGACAATTCATTCTACTACTGTCGGTGAGTCACCGCCATTGTTCTTGCATAAATGCGCCTTTATGGAAACTACTTCAGCACATTGAGCATGCAACTTTGTACCTTAAAGCAATGGCGGTAGAAATGATGGTTTGGGAAAATGTTTTTATAAACATTTATATTGCAGAGTCGAGTACAACTGTTAGGACTATCCTCAATACGCACTCAAAGGAGGCCTCCTCAAAATTGCGCATGCGCAATGGCGACATTTCATCACCGCGACAAGCGAGCGGTGGAGGTCTGATAAATAGTATCACCGTCAGAAAATAGCTTTTCAAAGGCAGCTCCGAGCAGGCGCGCTTCGAAGCATCGTTCTACACAATCACGATCTGCTTAAACTTCCTGAGTGTCGTTAGATCGTAGGTTGATTTACAGAAATTTCAGGGAAGCGGCACAGCCAGGACTCACGATGGCCCTACGAAGCTACTTCTTGCCTTGCCTGCAACATCGTGTACGGAGAATAGTTATTCAGGCCAACTTTTCGTTGCAGCCGTTTCAGTCGTTCTGAACGCAACCAAAGCAATTGTCTGAATCAGCTGTTTCGAGAGCAACTGCGATGGTGCAAAGTGAACACGGTTGAAACTCGACGCCAACGCAAGAACCAGGCACAGATGAACTCATTCGGCTACATCCTTCACGTTTTAATGGCGTTCCCTGGACGTTCTGTTATAAGGTCTTGGCGACGTTGACGACGTTCAAGTGTAACCTAGACTTCGTCGGGACGTCATTTGAGGGACTTCAAGAGAAGGTTAGGTGTCGAAGTTATCTCAACGTCAAACAAACGCAAATAAACTCACGCAAAAGAAGAAAAAAAGTCCGGGAGGTTTTTGTGACGTCGCCACAACGATTCGTGCTACCTCTGTGGAGGCTACCGAATCGTGTTTAGGCGATTATTACGAAAGCCGAAGTACCAGTCTCCGCGCTTTACGTTGACGTCCCATTGTAACTGAGCAAAGATAGTAAAATTTGGGTTGTGTGTTTGCTTAGACAGCGGGAAGTTTATCAGCCTGAATGGGAGCTGCTTCTGTTCCCTGTGGATGAGTAATTTAACTAGTGATAAATTGCGGTTGACGACCGCACGCAGGTACGATGATCATCCAGATCAAAATGGGCAGAAGTGCGCATTAAATCCAGGAACACGCACAGCGGCTGCATTGCAAGGAACGGACTCAAATACTTCCCATCATTTCACATTAGTGGCATTTATGCTGTTTGCCTTTTTGAATTCGCTTACTCGGAACGTTCTAGAGAGGCGAGAGTACAGAACAGCGTAAAATGAGTATGCCAGAGAAAAACCGGCAGATAAGATTAAAATAGATTAACCGGGAGCTTAAGACAATGCCCTTCAGACTGATCAAGAAGTACAAGTTCGCTTTGTGTATTTTGCTTGTGTCGGTTTTCAATTACACATACGATACAACTTAGAGTATAGAAGACCGCCGTTGATAAAACCACGGCTGTTTCATATTTGAAACCCACTCTGTTTCCATTTCAGGCTCTTCCCTGCGTGAAAGCAATGTTGGACAAAAATTATCCGGACTACAGCCTCGAATGCACAGCAAACGGAGAATATGGAGAGGCAAGAGGACTCTATGGAGAAGCATTTTTTTATTTGCACTGGTTTAGAAGCGGGATATTAGACTGGCTAAATATTGCGACACTGACTCCACGCAACACCCCGATTTCTTGATACATAATTCAGTGGCCATTGCAATCCATCGATATTACATTGGAATGTTTCGGACTTTACAGAAGCGTACAGGCACTATACCTGTTTTCAACTCAAGAACCATAGGAAAAAAAGTCCGGCTTTTCGCGGATAATTACTAATTTTCACCTTTAGGTGGAGATTTAAGATATATTTATTAGCGTTTTAGAGTAAATACACGTTATCTTATCAAGGAGTGCACGTTTCAAACGCCAAAAGCATCGCCTGTGCCTCCGATAACCAAATCTGGCGAGAACTATTTCGCGCGGCGTATGAACAATGCGCAAAACTTACCGTTTACTTGAGGTGAAAACGGGTATAGTGGCACCCAAGTACACTCACGCAGCTCCACTCACCATAAAGCTACTTTGCCGTGGCGTAATTTCAAGGGTAGAGGCGAACCTTTAAGTCGGTAGCTTTATAGAGTCTACCAACCTCAGGAGACGCGTAAGCACGAAGTGTACAGGTCGGTCAGTCGGTAACCTCTCAATGTTCACACTTTTGCAGCCGACTACGACCAATTCCGACCAAACCGGATTTTAAGCCTCTGGTGAAGGCTTGCGAACGTGCCGCCCAGCGGCAATGGAGGCCATAAGTGGCGTAAAGCCCCGTTTTGTTAGGCGGGGCTTTACGCCGCTTTTTAAGCCTATTTGTGCGGTTTACGACTTGCCCCGCAGCGGCGCAGCCGGTCCTAAGCCATCACAAGGTGCTTAAAGACCGGTCTTTTCGAAGGGTGGTCATAGTCAAAATCAATTGTGTGAACGGGTCTTTATCTTTCCAGATGACTGAAATTCGTTAGAAGAAAAAGGGAATTTTACACCATAAAGCTGCAGCGAGGTTGAAAAGCTAGAAGCGAGCTGTAGTGAGCTGCACAGTTTATCGCTTGAGTGAAAGCATACGGATCATATTCGACACCATTTAGGCCCACGAAAGTCTCCAGATAGCTGTCTCCTTGTAATGGCACCGTTTTAGCGCGGGAAGTATGAGTTGCAGCAGTCATTCGTGCCTCTTTGGCGTAGCTTCAAAAATCCACTCAAATTCCGGTTTAACAAAAATGTGTTGGAACGCAAAGATTAGGTTTCATTCTTTGAGCTCTTTGACAAATCCAGAGGTAATAAAGCTTTTGGGGACCTTAGATGCTGAAAAAAGCTTCGATTGGCTGTTAGAACAACTCCTATTGTCCGTGAGGGCACCTATTGCGAGCGGAATCGTATAGGTCCCGATTACGAGTAAAGACTACAAAGGGAGCGCTCAAGCCCCCCGAACAAAGTGGGCGTTACTATCCTTCGTGTTGAGTACGTTTTTCGTCAGGCCATGCTGCTTCCCTGTGAAAGGGAAACAGCTGCTAGATGACACTATAATAAACTTCAAAAAGAGCAAAAAAAAAAAAAACCTTCCCGTTTCTTAAGTGTATTTTAATGGCGCCCGAAATTCGTAGCATTTATAGGCCCCCTGTCAGGCCGAGATGTCGCTTGACGTCGCATCATCACGCGGCGTCAGAGTGTCGCGTGACGTCACGAACTCATATGTGACGTCACACGTGTCACTGAACGGCACACATTTGTTCGTCCCGTCTTTGAATTCCATCGTAACGGAAGCATCACGTGGGCTAGGTCCTTCCATCACTAAAGCTGCGCGGAAACACATCATACAAATGACTGTCTGCAGCCATGTTTAAAGCACAGTATAATATAGTGTCATCTAAATGGCACTATAATATACTGTGAATCTCTACTTCTGTTCAAAGCCTTATGTAAAGATTGCGCACTTATGTAAAAAAAAATTGCGCAAATTCTATTGCGCGCATTATTTAATAGAAGTCGTTTACATGATTTTATGTTTTTACATAAGGTTGTGAACGGAAGTATTGATTGATCACTTTTGTTAAGTAATATTTGTTTCCATGTTCCCTTGCGGTCTAATCGGTTTCAGAGCCCGTTCTGCCCCCTGACTGTATACGATGCGTCTCCCTTAACAAGAATGGAACTCAAATTTAACAGGCTTGACCAATCTGCTATAGACATTTTTAGTGACGTGGCAACGTTTCGAAGTACACTGAGTCTATAATTTGTCTATGATTTTGGATCTCTTTGGCTGCCTGCATTTATTTTCCAGCGACGAACTGTGTTCCACTCCTTAGGCTATGTGCTGTTTGTGGGCTCAACAACAAAAATAACGATTATTATTATTATAGCAAGCCACATGCGTGAGGAGTGACCGCCATTAATTCTGTCATCATGCCTGCAGCGAACACGGTGCCTTTTGTACGATGCAATATGAGCAGTCTGATCGCGGCTTAAGAGTTACAAACTTTAACCTCCAACTCGACGCAGAAATCAAATGAGCGCCCTCCGACTATTTCTTTCGCTCGGAACCACCACCGCCGGGGGAATATTCGTGACTTGCGGTTAACCTGAATTTTTTTTCTTCTTTTTTACGAGCGCGTTCATTTTGCGTTTGAACTGCCAATGTGAAGAGCAAGTCGTCTGCCTCTTGCGCAGGACTTGCGGTTACGTCAGAATGACGCCAAGCTCTGATAGGCTTTGATTGAAAGAATAGTGGGTATACCTCAATCCTAGAGGCCCTGAGGTATACCCACTGTGTTTTTTGTCTTTTTAAGTCAACCGATAGGAGTTTGGCGTCGTTTTGACGTCACCACACGTCCTGCGCAATAAGCGGACGAACTTGCGCGCCGCATAGCGTACTCTCATTTCTCTCCTTTTGACGACTTTGAATATGGCCAAACATTCGGTATTTAAAAAGCTCTGGCGTGCACACCAAGTGCCCACGCCAGTGCCCAGACGAGGTGTGGGCACTATACGGGTGCGCGGGAACCAGATTCGAGTCGAGTGTCTGCGCGGGCGCCTTGCCAATAGCAACGCCACATGTAGCGGCGAGGCGTCAGGGACGCGGGTGTTCGCGTTTCTCGACAAGGTTACAGAACAGGGCTCGGAAAATGAGGGGACGATGGTGACGTAATGTCACGTGCGTGGCTTCATGTGTTGGCGTCGCACGCGGCTCCGACGCGAAGGCGCGGGGTTTGAACCTCACCGGCCTCCATTCTTAATTTCACTCTTTTTCGACTCCTTGTCGAACGTTCTGGCGGAATCCTGTAACGCACCGCTTGTTTTTCTGCAGAAAAGTTCTAGAAGAGCAGCGAAGGATAAAACGAGTCACGAATAAAAATAGCGGATGAATGTGGAAGTGGATATAAACGTTTAATGAGGCGGACGTGCGTTTCTAATCTTAAAAAAAAGGAAGCGTACATTGCTAGGGTTCCTTGATGTTGCCTCATGTTGCCAGTCTCCCGCTTATTTTATAGACCACATAGTCAAGAACATCCTGCACATGAGCAAACGATGTTACAAGACTCTGCTTGAACATCCTAGGACTGTCGCGAAACATAAAATAAAACACTAAGCCGGGAGCGGGGGGGGGGGGGGGGGGTGGAGGGGAAGGGAAGGGGAGGGTTTAAAGCCAGCACCTTGGCGTAGGAGCCGCGTGCGATTCCAGCTCAGCCATGCACGTGGCAATAAAAATAATTTGAAATCCTAAAGCGCTAGATGAACCTGAATATCCGGGGCTTTATGTTATGCCAAAATGCCAATAAATTTCGAAATTATAAAACTGGTCACGACACCGTTAGAGGAGGACGTTCTTATATTCTTTCGCGAATTACAGACAGTGAAAGCTAAATACTTATTTCCATAATTTATTCATTTACCTATTTATTTACAGTCCGTGAACTGTATCGACACTGCTGAAGCGAAGGTAAGTCAGACTTCAATTGAGCCGTGGTATTCACAGGTGTCTACATAAGGATTTTTCTGATACTCGTGCAAAATTCCCGCAGTCATTTGTCACCGACAGTCATCGCCGCTCCTTGGAGATTGCAATCGTAAGTGGTATAACTCTTATCGTAAATAATAATACATATATTTTTAACACGATATCGTTATGAATCTCGTGTCGAGCCGGCCTCGGTGGCGGGACGAGAAAAGCCGACGTCGGTGGGGTGCCGCGAACACCCTGATTGGTCGATAGGGCCATGACGTCACAGCCACACGACCTCGTGCGTGAATTTCGAACAACACACAACGCCCACGAGAAGCGTGACGTCACGCGCGGATTTAAAGTGATTAGGAAACATGACATGTGATGCGAATTAAAAGTCTCCGCATGTCTCAATTGATTTCACTCTAAAACGTTTTTTATTTACCTTTACAAATTGATAAATTTTACGCGGCATTCGAACCGACGACCTTTCGCTTCTGAACTAGACACGACTAAGCCACGCAAGGCAGTTATATTTTTTCCCAGTTTGCAATGGTAGGATCTACATGACATGAACGCTGGCAAGATAAAAATGCTGGCGATATTGTCGTGTCATACGACAGGTACATGTGAAGTGGAAATGATTGTCAAGTAGTCTTTTGGTTGGGAGCCACGATGAATAAGGTTAAACGTACTTTAAGATAGCCAATTCGTCCAAAACTGGCAACCACTCCAAGTCAATATTTATCACCCTAAAATATTTCCGAAGCCGTTTTACCCTTTCAATAAAGTATTCCCGAACAGTGCAAGCGCGTACATCCGCATGACTAATTTTTTATTTTAATTTTTATTACGAAGTCCCAAGAGCATTTTTGTATCGTATGGCACCGGTAAACTGTCAACAGTTAACAACCGGATGCCGTATGGTGATAGCGGGAGTTCCTTTTTAATTGTTCGCTGGAGCGCGTCCCAATAAAGAGTAGCATATCCCAGCAATCAAAAAAGAAAGTGTTCAATACATTCAGGCTGTTTACATAACATAAAGTTAACCGCCCAGTATATAGTCATTCCTTTTCCTTTCGAAATGTCTCTACCGGCAGTGTTTACCTCTGCAACTTAAAAAAAGAATGTTTTAACCCCAGGCGGAACCAATGCTCTTTTAACGCGTTTCAGTACGTCTTGTTCTGAGACTCCAGTGTATAAGGACCGGGGTTTGGGTGTAGGCATCAGAATATACAAGAGATCCTGCGTCGACCCCTTGCGGGATATCGATGACAGATATTTGAAGGAAAAACGTGCGTAAAGAAAGAGACATGCAGATACTACCTCTCAAAAAACCCGACAATGGTCCATTGCGCACACGCCCCCCCCCCCCCCCCCCCCCAAGTCGACTCTACAAAACCTGGCAACACATCAACAAGCTTGGTTTCTATTACGGTTCCACGAAAGGGGTTGGATTGATTGCGAATAAACGTGAAACATAAAACAATTTGACGAATATGAAGAGTCTGACGCCGCCCTAATAGACGGAAGAGAAACATCATTTCGGCTTTGATGATGATGATAATGCAATTAATGAAGAGGTACTACCGAGCTGGACAAGAATGACGATGATACCCCTGGAGAGGGAGGAACAGGGAGGACAAAGGAAAAGCACAAAAATACAAACACATCTAGGTGACTGGTGCGCGACCGAAAAGGTCCCTGGTTCGATATCAGGACCACCCGAAGGAAAAATCCATCAATGAAACGCTGTTTGGCAGTCAATGTTTTCTAGTGGACCGCTGACTGTGCCTGACTGTACGTCAAGCATGTCTTATTGGCCAACAAGTTACTCCGACCGACAGTCAAACTCCAGTCAGACCCCGCTTGTCGGCTTTCTGATGGTTTCCTGGTGGCAGTCGGCCGCCGCGAAATGCCATCAGAATGTCCTGGTGGTGATTCTGACTGTACATCGATTGTCTCTGACTGTACGTCAGAAAGCTTTGACGTGCAGACAGAAGTACGGTCAAAGGACGTAAAGTTCGTTCGGATACCACTATTTCGTCAAATCTATGAATACGAAAAGTAATCTATGCACGAGAAAACGATTTCGGGACGTGAGCCCATAAAACCGCTGTCGTTAGAGATATGACACGCAACCGACCGACAACCTTGATCAGAAGCCCGCCGAAGCGCCGAACACGACACTTCGCACTTCGCTTTGCCCATAAATGCTTCGCCTAGCTTTCATGAACGATCGCTCTCGACTCGTTTTGTTTGCCCGCTTGCTCCAACCTGTCGATCCTGCCCGGGCTCTGCAATGTCTTATGTTTTAGTAGAATTTCTACTCGACAAGACCCAGCCTGTTGTGAGTTCCCACGATGTAAGGGACTTTAGCGGTGTAGTTGAAGACGACAAGGTGTACCAGGTCTACTGGGCCCATGACGCGCGAACAAAAGGATCGTTCTACGACGCGAAAGTACTCTACATGGCAGGTGAGTAGAACTGAAGTACGGCGAGTGATGTACGAGTGCTTTGCACAACATGGTGACGGCTTAACTGCATTTGCAGCCGAAGCATCTCGTATAAAGCGAATAGTCAAATCGAGTGTCTGTAGATGTGGCTTAGCATAGCGGTTAAGGTGTCCGATTTGTACGCAAGCAGTCGCGGGTTCGATCCGCGGTGGTCCTGCTTTTTTTTTTTTTTTCTTTTTTTTCTCGAACATTTTGTTTTATCGAGGCATTTGGCGATATTTATGAGTGCGTATAGCTTTACTCTTATATAAATGCTGCCCTTGTTGATGAAAATTCCTTGGCAGTGGCAGTCAGACGCCATCTGATGGACCATCAGATGACGTCTGATGGTCCATCACGTTCCACCAAGGCTGCTGACTGGCGGTCAGTGTCCCAAATTACGTATCTTGATGGAATTTTCAATAGGGCAGGTGGGTTTTTTCGGTCGCGCACAAGCCACCTAGCTGTGTTTAGAGATTTGTGTTTGACCTTTGTCCCCCTTGTTCCCTTTCTCCAGGGATTATTATCGTCGTTCGGCTTGTTCGTTCCCATTGAGATGCCCAGATAAACAGTGCGAAAACACGGTTTATATGTTAAATATTGACTCGCGAACAATGTCACTCTTGAACTACGTACCTCAGCTTTTACATAACAAAATAAATTACAGATAGTCGCTCTCGCAAAACTAGAAGCATCCTTCCTTACGAGCTGTTCAGCTGAGGCTTTCAGTTGAGCAGTTTCCTCCTGCCAATACCCGGCAGTAATACAGTAATGTTCAAGGGAATCGCCCAGGTGCTTACGTGGCACCCTAGACCATTAAAAGTTTTCAAAGAAACTTGCGACAGTTGTCCACTTGCCGTGGAGCCCGTAGCATATAGACCGGTTGACGGTACAAGCAGTGAGGTCTCAAAACCTCCTCGTCTCTGCAACGGCTTTCAAAACGCCCTCGGCCCGGCGTCAAAAAGAAAAAAACTGGCTACGTTATTTGCGCATGACAGGAGCTTAACTTCACTTTCATAATGAATAAAGCCTCGTATATATGCCTATACATTGATTGACGTATCAGCAATAAGGCTCCAAATAGATTGCGAAAAGCAATAGAGATAAGGGGCAACCTTGCCGAACCAAGGGAAGAACATTTATTTGAGAACTAACTTCTTTATTAACAATAGGGTTTGTTGTGCAAATTAAATAGGTCATCTTTACGCCATTGAGAATCACTGAACCAATGCCAATATATTCTAAAATACAAAAAGTACATTGTGGCAAACCCGGTCGAAAGCACTACTATTTGACTGTACTCCACGCCACAAACTTCAAATATGCTTCTATACTTCGTCTCATCCTACGATGGACTAAAGGCCAAAGCCACTGGCAACAAGGTCCAATCACGTTGCAAGCTAAAATATGACACACTTAGCATTGGTCAGGGGTGGACGAATGATCCTCCGAATCCAAAAGCACTGCATGATTTTTATAGCTTCGACACTGCAAAGAGCTTGTATGACATAGCTTTTTTTGCAATGTAAACTTGTTGAGTCACCCAGTGCTATTTAATCCAAACTACCGTCCGCCCCTCCCCATTAGTGGTTCGAGACGCGGGTGCCGATACGAGCATCGAAGCGAAATACCACGCAACCTGTAAGTGGCTCGTGATTGGATCTGGCAGTCCGTAGCTTCTGCGTTTAGTCCATCGTAGGGTGAGACAAAGTATAGAAGTGTGCATGCACAAACACTGCGGTCCTTAATCCCGCAAGCCTGATGCGGTCTTCCAATTTTTCAAATTACACACTGCAACCTCCGTGCTAACACGTTCAATAAAATTTTATTGTCGACATTGGCCAGAGTAAGTTGTCCATAGTTGCTAGTACTATAGTCCTGATAAGACTGACAAAAAATGCGATGTAGCGAAGGCCCAATTTCCGGCTTAAATTTTGTATAAAATGCTGCGCTTAGCCCACCCGGTCTCGGCTACTTGCCGTTGCTGAGTTCATTCATTTTTTTTCTCGAACTCAGTTACGCTGATTGGCTGTTCCAGAGACTGGTGGTGTCGCTATCCAGCTTTCGTAAAGTCGGCAAAAATTCTTCATCAAACCCCTTTTGTTTCGTGCTTTTTTTTTTATCTAACAAGGCCTTATAATATTCTACAAATGCTTGCTGTATAAGATCGCGGTTAACAGTCACTGCGCCTTGGTGATCTCGTTACAGCTAGCGTATTTCTTTTCTAGCGCGAAGGCAAATTTCGTGAGTGTTTGTCCGACTAGTAACTTCTCAGCCCAGGCTCATACAGTCGCCCCTTATATCTTTCTTCATCAATTATTTTAAGATTTGCCTTAATAGTGGTGATGTCATCTTTAAAAACACCCGGTGTCTTTCATTCTTAGGCTAGAAACCTTTGCAAACCAAGGCAGAGTCCGTTTTCCAACTTTCACTCTTCCCACTTTATTTCACATGCCCTTTCTATAGCATCTATTTTTACTTGTTGTTTACACTATTTCCGTTCTCCACAACCTTCTTTCTCGGGCACTGTTGCATTTTTTTTTTAATTTTTCTTTCCAACCTGTCAGTCAGTTCCCTATCGTCCAGCAGCTTTGCGTTGAACTTCCCCAACTCCCACTAAAAACCGCCGCGCTTCCGGCGTCGACCCACGGTAAACGTCACCAAACTATGGTAACGAAACAGTACACATCGA